TTTTTTGTTTACATAATATATGTGTGTGTACTGTGTATATTTATTATGTATATATAAACACACACACATGCATGTATATATTTAAGAAACATTTTATGTTTATATATTCAATATATTTATATATAATTTAAAATATAAGAACATGAATATATAAATGTATAAACATACTGTTTGTGTGTGTATTTATATATGCATACTAAATATACACAGTACACATACATATATCATGTAAATAAAACTTTTATTTTGGATGCGATTAATCGTGATATATTTATTTATTTATTTATTTTATTTTACACTTTACATTTGATTTTAAGGTGTCCCTGTTACAGTGTAATTATACATTTAAGTACTGAGTAATATTAATAAACTACACGTACTTACTATATGGTTAGGATTAGAGTTTGCCTTAGGGTTACCTGTATGTAATTATGCATAATTTATTGTTTTTATAATAGTAAGTACATGTAACGTGTAACAAGGACACCATAAAATAAAGTGTTACCCGGTTTACTATATTAATATTAATAATGCTGTAATAGCATTGCATTCCATCTAAACTAGTCTGTTTTGAGGTGGCTGTTCAGTTAGAGCAGCTAGTAGACGGCGAGGTCAGTGTGTGAATTCACCACCTGCTCTCAGCAACAATTCATGAAGCAGAACAATCCGTGTTCGGACACTGAAGGCACATCATATATTTATCGTGGAACATGATGTAAAATGCCTGCAATCTCTTCTGTTGTCTCAGGTGATAAAGGCAGTGGAGGAGAACTACAGGCTGCCGGGCCCCATGGACTGTCCGACCGCCCTCTATCATCTCATGATGGACTGCTGGCAGAAAGACAGGAACAGCCGGCCCAAATTTGAGGAGATTGTCAGCTTACTGGACAAACTCATCCGCAATCCCAGCAGCCTGAAGGGTCTAGTTAACCCATCGAACAGGTAGACGACCAGCCGTTATTGATTTAGTTGTGTTCATTTGTTCTCGTTCTTTACTGTTCCCGTCAGAGTGTATATGCTAATTAAGCTGTTATTTACGGCATGTGATTAACATCGACTTTGAGATCACAAATGATGTGACGTCTGTGAAGCATTGATAACCGAGGGTTAACCACCCTGCTACACGGCTGTCACAGGAAATCAAGCTTTAAATGACACTGGTGACAAATACGCACTCACATTTAGTGATTTAATGTCGCGTTAAACAAAAGTGACAGTGTGCAAATGACTTCCAATTACTGTGATTATACGTATCGAATACATTTGCGGTCTGTATTCTTACATGTTGGAATCATCCATTATCTGTAATTGTGTTATGCAATTATGTCCAGGTTTAATATGAAATTGATTTGGAGTCTGGGAATGTTTCGCGAGCTGCGTTATTGCACCGTAATTTTCTTTATTTGCCTTGGATGATAATATTAGCAAGTGTGGCCAAGAGATCACTGATTATATTAATATGTATAGTCATAATGCGATTTAATTTTAACATACATATGAAAGCAGAATTATAAGCTGAGTTTCATACATATACTTGTTCTGAATATTATGTGTGTGTGTGTGTGTGTGTGTGTGTGTACAAAGTTTGAGTCCCCAGTTAAAATGCTTTTAATTAAATATAACATTTTTATTGCAAATTCCATTTAAAATAGTTAAAATAATTTGAGTTTAATCATAAAATGTTGTTTATTTCAAGATCTGTGTGAAGAAATATCAGATTTCCAGTTTGGTTTCAAACTTTTGTATATTAACATAGTTATTACAGTATAATAACATAGTTATTACAGTGTAATAACATTTATTATCGTATTACACATTTTGAGGGGGAAATTTGCATCATAAATGTTGGATATACCTCAGAAGCTTGTTAGATGGTGTATTATTCTTTGAGTCAGCTCAGATCTGTAAATGTTTTTATTATCCAGCCTTCACTGTAATGTCAGCTCTATAGATTCATTTGTTCACCACTGTACCTGTCTCTCCCGCAGAGTGTCCAATTTATTAGTGGAGCATGGGAGCCCTGAGGGCTGTGTATTCAGATCGGTGGAGGAATGGTTAGAGGCCATAAAAATGGGTCGATACACTGAGCTTTTCATGGAAAGTGGATACACTTCTCTGGAAGTCGTCACTCAAATGACCTTGGAGTAAGTCATCTGTTGTGGAGGTCATTGAGCCTCTTTGCCTTTAATGTACTTGAGAAATTAGTGTATTGAGAGTGTTTTGATCCTGGGAAATTTGGATGCACTTTCTGTTAAAGGCACAATATGTAAGATTTTTTTATTAACATATCCAAAAACCACTAGAACAGTGTTATATATTTTGCTGACTTGTGTACTTACATTATCCCAAATGTTTTGAAGAATGTTTCAATCCAGAGAAATAAGCAATTTTAACTAGTGGCACGGACCGTGTCCATAGTATCATTGTGTCGCCTGCCAATGACGTCATAACCCCTCGATTTCCGGTTTTGTTTTGTAGAAAACATGGAAACACCAAAGACGCTTAAATACGTTATGCGTTTTATTAGACAGGTGACGACCGCACAGAGTAGCATTATAACAGAACTTTCAAACGTATTTAGTATGATAAAACAGCGCTGCTTTTTATTCCCCACATACGCACGACCGTAAGGAGCGGAAGTGGCGGCTGTGGGGATGAAGACGACAACTCCCATGATTACACACTCAGTCACGGCGTCATCTAACTAAGCCTTTGATTATTTGTTTATTTTGAATGTGCGCCCTCTAGCGGCGAAAATTACATATTGTGCCTTTAATTGCTACAGTTTACAATGCTACAGAGATGCAGAATGATGAACTGTAATTTAGGCGAATTGTTTCCACAATTGAAATGTATATTTATGTTCTTTCAGAATAGGCTGCACTAATAAAGACATAATTAAGGGTAGAGTTTAACACTAATTGAAATCTTTAGAAATAATAGTCTTTTGCATACAATATAAATGAATGGAGACTGGGGAGGGTGATCTTCATTTGTGAGAAAAAGACAAACTTGTATCAGTATTATGTCAAATATTGCTCTAATTCTAATTTCGGATGTCAACAGTAGTATATAAAGTACCTGAAAGTCATACTCAAGTAAAAGTACAGATATCTAAATATTCATGTAGCTCAGTGGTAGAGCATTGCATTAGCAGCGCAAAAGGTTGTGGGTTCGATTCCCAGGGAACACACATACTGGTTAAAAATGTATAGCCTGAATGCTCTATAAGTCGCTTTGGATAAATGCGTCTGCTAAATGCATAAAAAAAATATATATATATCTTACCAGAAAATGACTTTGGTAGAAGTTGAAGTCACCATTTAGAATATTACTTGAGTAAAAGTCTTAAAGGAGACATATTATGCCCCTTTTTACAATATGTAATATAAGTCTCTGTTGTCCCCAGAATGTGTCTGTGAAGTTTCAACTCAAAATACCCCACAGATCATGTATTATATCATTTTGAAAATGCCTATTTTGAGTGAAAGCAGAAACACAGTTTTTCGGGCCTGTCTCTTTAAATGCAAATGAGCTGCTGCTCCCCGCCCCCTTTTCCAGAATAGAGCTGTGCCATTACAGCTAGGACCTCCTAAAAACATCTGTTATGGTTCTGGTTATCATGTTTATCGAGCTGAAATCATGCGGTTTAAACCATATGAGTTTAATCTTCTGATATACGGTTTTCTGAGAGCACACAGCCGAAGCACACGGACAGAAAGCGGCCACCACACAGCATGCGAGTACTAAACTGTTCTCATTCACACACAAGTTTACGTTAAAAACACACATGAGTTACAAAAACAGTCGGTTATGTCTGTGAAGGTAAACTGCTGGGAAATAAATTGCATGTTTATTGTAGATCTTAATAGTGTTCTGTGTCAAGTAAAGCAGCCAAAGACAGAACAGATAGCATGTTATGCTCAAACTTTCGCCAAGGCATTAGAACTGGTACACCGTTGTCGCTTGCGAAATCAAAATGACGGCGTCGTGGGTGAAACCTTACAGATTAAGGGGTGGTAATATTTTAATGAGATCCCTTTGCAACGTCACCAAGGGAGCGAAATCTGATGCGCTCATTTTCTCAGATGCTTGCAGAAAAAGGCTTACCAAAACAAAGTTACTGGGTTAATCTTTTTCACGTTTCCTTGGTTGGTAGATGCACCGGGGACCTGATTATAGCACTTAAAACCTGGAAAAGTCAGATTTTCATGATATGTCACCTTTAAAGTATGTGATATTTATTGTACTTAAGTACGGAAATTATTTCTAAAATCTTAAACGTACTTAAGTATTGAAAGTAAAAGTACAAGTAAATGCAAAATGGAAAAGAAGCAAATAAACATACATAAAAATGTTCATACACAGCTATAGTAGTAAGATTGTGTTCAGTTTTAACTCTTTCTTCCATTTTGTATTGTTGGGGAAGAATAAGAAGCGCTTCATCCGGTACTTAGTGTCTTTCATTCCAACATAAGAAAACATTTCTGGAATCTGCATCTGAAATAGCATTTAGATCTATTTACACAGATTAATGTAGGCCTATTTCAGAGTTGACGAAGCATTTAACCTGCAGTCACAGATGAATAAATAATGTTTAGTTTTTAACATAAAACGCTGAATACTGTTATTTGAAATTATTTTAAAACATAAAAAAATAGTCGAAATGTGAAATTAAAACCGCCAGTAGGTGACAGCAAGTGACTGTTAATGTCAACCGATTCGTTCAAAAAGCTGATTCATTCAATAAGTAAACACGGTTCATTGCTCAGAGACGCAAAACAGTGCTGTGATCTTTGTTTGGAATTATTTTCGTTAGCAAAATTTAGCAAAAACAAGCAATATTATGTCGAAAATGTAAGTCACTTATTGCTTTACTGAACTTGTATAAAATAATTATTAAATGTGTTCATGCTGATGATGATGCTGATCTGCAGAAAAACGGTACTCTTTGTGGGCTATAGATTAAGTTAACTATATTAAATTATATAAATATAAAAAGCATACAGAAGCATTTTTGCAGTCTACAATTTAGAATGCCTTGCATTTTGAGTTTTAATAGACTAATAAATCACGTGCGTGCACTCTGTGTGTGATTTGGTGATATAGCCTACTTGATAATGTCAGATCGCACATCATTACAACAACACTTAACATATTATCGCAGACGATGCTGTATATCGCACACCGCAGACTTGACTTGAGTGGAAAATGAATCATCTGCGGTTGTGCGCACACTTGTTTGCACATGAGCATGAGTCTAACTTGCAAACGCCAGACCACTGATTCGTCAAACCTGCTTTCCTGCAGTCCGTACAGATACTCCCAAAAAATACTTAAGTACTGTAACGAAGTATCATTTCTTCGTTACGTTACACCACTGGATGTCAACATGTGCCACAGCAGGTTTGATGTCAAATTAAACGTTTCAGTGAAAAGTTTAAGCAACTTAAATGTTGGCTCTTTTATCACCCGCTCATTTTTGTTGTATGGAAATTAACAGTTTAGACGTTCTGCAAAATATCTGTGTTTGTGTTCCATGAAAGAAAGAAAGTCATGTGGCACTTGGAACATGCGAGTTGTCATTTTTGAATGTAATTGTGTGTTTAAACTGTTATTTTAGTATTATTTATATAGTATTGTAGTGATTATTAATATTTTCAATTAGCTTTGTATTTATTGATTTATTTGCTTTTGTCATTTATTCTTTTTTTAATATTTCCATTCAGCTTTTTTATTTCAGTTTTTGTTTGAGTAAATTTAGTACTTATTATTTTCAGTTAGTTGATATTTATTTATGTGTTTATTTGTTTGTTTGTAAATGTGTTATGTGGTTTTGCCATTTTATTATTTTGTTTTAATATTTAGCTTTTTTATTTTAGTTTTAGTAATTTTAGTACTTGATTTTTCCCTCAGTTTGTTTGTTTGTTTATGTATTTATTTATTTATTGTTGGTTCATGATTTTATGTGCTTTTGTCTTTTTTTTTTATATTTCCATTTAGCTTTTTTTCAGTTTTAGTTTGAATAATTTTAGTACTTATTTTTTCCCAGTTAGTTGCTATTTATTTATTTATTTATTTATTTATTTGTCTGTTTGTTTGTAAATTACGTTTATTATTTGTTTTGTTTTTTGTATTTGTATGTTTTTGTTTTAGTTAACAATAACTTGTTTAAGCCACATGCTGTATAATTTTGATTAGCTGTCATAGATATGTAAATGAACAGCAACAATGTCATCTGTGAAGCAAACTTTTTAAAGATCCATTCTTTTATTTTGTGGAACAACAAGAAACAAAAGTAGTGCCAAAAGTAGCTTTTACAGACAAAAACAGAATTTCAACAATTTACTTTCATTATAAAACGTTCCAATTTAACAAGTCCCTAAAGTTTGGTCCAGTCCAAGTAGATAAATCTTTATTTACATCTGACTCCAGGTTTTTTAATCATTATCAGTGATATACATTATAGCTAAAAATCACTGATTTATTGTTCTTTTGCAGAGATCTTAGGAGGGTTGGAGTCACTTTGGCCGGCCATCAGAAAAAGATCCTCAACAGCATTCAGGAGATGCGAGTCCAAATGATGAACGCCACTATGCCCATCTGAGAGCGGCCTCAGAGGAACCTCCAGCAGCAGTCTAGCACTTTCTACGGACACTTATTTATTGAACGGAACTATTTAATGAAAAATTTGACATTGATGAAAAAAAAAAAAAATGGCTGGATAGATGGACAAACGGTTACTGTTTCGTTTCTGCAAAGCCTCCAAACTAAAGTGACAGGAGGAACGTGACTGAAATGTTGAGTGGTTGTTTGGAAAAGTGTGGCACATCTCCAGGTAGGACTACTGACTTGGGATCAAGTGTCTCTGGGCTGAATGTATACCATTTGTCCATGACCTCATTCAACAATATTATTACCTCCGGAAGAGACTGCAGTCGGTTTCAGCTTGGAAGTTTTTTCCCCCCCCCCCCACAAAAAGTTCACCTGAGGCGAATTCAGACAGTAAGACTGAAGTCATATCACGGGCTGAGGAAACGTATGGCAGTGTTAAACAAAGCAATAGTAGATTTCAAGCTTGATGTTGATTTTACTTCTTTCGAAATTGTTGCTTCCTTGTTTCAATAAGAGGACAAAGCAATGGACAGGATCGTTTTCCTTTTGCACAATATCTGTGTCGTGAAGGGCGGAGGAAATGTATTTGTTTTTAAAAATGTGACACGTTTCAAAACCACACATTTATTTTAGTTCCACTGATGTTTTGGTGTTTTATGTGTAAATAGTGTACAATTGCGTAGTTGAAGTGGAGCTCAAATGCATCCATCCATGTTCCTGTGATGTTGATATACTTTAGTGCACAGGTGGGCTAACATACTATGTATATTCAGTCCGGTCAATAAATGTTTATATTGCCTCTCAGTGATTCTTTAGATAGAAAATTAACAATTGTTTTACCGTTGATGGAGTGATCTCTACTGTATTTTGCTACCCATATTATTGCCTTGCTCAGTTTTCACAGCTATAGGTGGATATTAAAGTCAACATGAAATCACAATGGACCCTATTTTTCTTTCCTAATTCAGATTTGGGGTTTTATTGTGCGCAAATTATAATTGTTTTCTGTAAAATCTTCAACTTGCTCCATATGAAACGACTTTCTTTTTCTAGGCTGCAAACATATCTATTTAGGCAACAAGAGCAGATAACAATACATTTGGATACAGTGAAATATGTCGCATTATGGAAGTAAAATGGGTTGTGAATATCATTTCATGTTGGCTTTAAGTTGGTTCAGTATGTCAGACATTAGCAAAATCACTGAAAATAAGTTAAAATTCTACGTGCCACATCTGTCGATTACTGTGGACAATAATTTGGACTCGTCCCTCAGTGTACAGACAAGCATTGAATTGTGTACATTTACAGTAAATAGACAGATAGGCCAGGAAGATAACAGGAGTATTTCACGCAAAAATGAAAATTTTTAGAATATTTACTCCCCTTCAGGCCATTAAATTTGCAAATGAGTTTGTTTCTTCATCAGATTTGTAGAAATGTAGCATTGCATCACTTGCTCACCAGTGGATCCTCTGCAGTGAATGGGTGCCGTCAGAATGAGAGTCCAAACAGCTGATAAAAACATCACAATAATCCACAAGTAATCCACACCACTCCAGTCCATTAGTTAATGTCTTGAGAAGCCAAAAGCTGCGTGTTTGTAAGAGACAAATCCATCATTAAGACCATTGCTTCCATGATATTGCTTTTCTGCTGAATCAGGAGAAAAATCTGCACGGATCAAGCACCGTTTACAGGTGAAAATAGTCCAAAACAACTCTAAACAAATATGCGGCTGGATTTTAATGTGAGAGACAACAGAGATGGACTTTTTCACTGGAGGAAACGTAGACTCGTATTTTCATCAGAAGTAACAGTTCACAAGACATTAATTATTATTGTGATGTTTTTATCAGCTGTTTGGACTCTCATTCTGACGGCACCCATTCACTGCAGAGCATCCATTGCTGAGACACTGATGTGATGCTACATTTCTGCAAATCTGTTGAAGAAACAACCTCATCTAGATCTTGGATGTGCTAAGGATGAGGATATTTTCATAAAATTTTCATTTTTGGATGAATTATTGCTTTAAAAGCGCTTATTATTGTAAAGAACATCTCTGGTTGGACAACTTAACATAATGACGCAGTTTACAGAACATCAGCAAAAGCATTGCACATAGTAGATGACGTTATGTAGTTAGCCTAGCATGCTAATGTTTTCAGTTGTTGGTATCCTTTTCCGACTTCTCAAATACCAGAAGTAGCAGTGTTTTAATGTCACCCAATCCCATTGTCTTCCATTTTTATGTGCACTGAGGTACAAGTTGAAATGACTGTCTGTGGTAATCAACAACATGACACACATGCATTATAGATACTACTTTATAGGTTTCATAATAAAAGAAAATGTTGAATGGTAAGACTCAGAGTCAGAAATTAATCATTCAAAACCAAATTCCAGACATTAGGCCATTTCTACCCATATTTTAGGTCCATAATTAGCACATTATTATGCTATTAAAACTACTGAAAGGTCACAATATTGTATTCATATTAAAATTGCTTATAATTATGATCAGTATAAGTATTTTCAGTAAGTCCACTATGCTAGATTTTTTTTTCGACATTTTTATTTCTTGAAATTTGATCTTAACAACATAATGCTCCTTAATTAGTCAACTGAAAAGTACTCAGGTGCCTGTGATTATTTGAGTATATTATGAAAATCCGTAGATATCGAGGAGCTAATCAAAGGTTCATTGATCAGAATTAATAATAGTCAAAAATCTTAATGACAGATAGTTACAAATGTTCAATTAATCTGAATCAGCATTGATTTTTTTTGTAATGAGTATTTGATATTTGTTGCGATGAATGTTACTAAAATCTACTTTATACGCAATACAGTTACCCTTCATTTGGTATTTTGCACTGAAATTCACTTTGTAAAAAATGGGCTTAAGTTTGAATTTATACATGTGTTTTAACCCAATTTTATTTTCAAAATCATATTGTAGACCTACCCAACCGACACACCATGCTTTAATATTGCAAAATCCTTGAGCGTTTTCAGATTTGTGGCAGTTATTGTTCATAACCATTGATCATATCTGCCCGAACGAAAAGCCAGATTGATTATTATCAGGCTGTTTACTCAGAATATGTAAATCTGGATGACTTTAAGTTATAGTCCTAAACATACTTTATTGAGTTATGCCTTTCGTTTAACATTTATGATTGTGGTTACACAAAATACATCTATTTCACACATGGAAATGTCAAATGTAGCTACAATTAAGAACCTTCCTGGTTAGTACAGTGATTCTGAACAGCAAGCACAAGGTAACACAATTTATCCTTATATAGCATACCACCCTCCAAAAACACATCTAAAAACATTATGCTGATTACATTGATTTTTGCATAAAACACTGATATTGAGTGCGTCAAATTATTTCCAAACATTTATAGTAGTACAAAATGATATGCATGGTGTTGGTAAGCTGCCTATTGCAAATGCATTTTATCAACATAATGACTATGTTGTTTGAATCTTTTAGCATATTTGGTCCAATAAAGAGCGGGGAAAGAAAGAAAAGCATGGAAGAAGAAGAAAAAAAAAGTAATTTCTATGTGATAATTGTTCGTCTATTACCTTCTGCTGTGTGTTTTGTTGTGTAAATATCTTTTGTAGTGTAATATATTAAATTTTATATTTTTTTGGAATAAACTGGAGAGAAACCCAATATTGCTGAGTTCTCTATGCAATGTAACATTGCAATACTAAATGAACCTCAGAGCAGAACTGAAGAACCCTGGAATAATTGTTTTCTATGGCTGGTTTTCTTTTTTAGGGCGACCACTGCCATGGTGGAGCAACAGTTTGAATCTTGCTGAGCGAGTTAGTCACAGTTTTCTAAACTGTAGACATGCTTATCTGGCTGCTGAATAATAACACTTTCAGTTTAATGGCACATTTGAAAGCAACTCTATCGCCCCCTTGAGTGCCGAGATGCTTTGAATAACATAAACAATATGGCTGCATGTTTGCAATGCAATGCATTTGTTTTTGTGGCCTTGTGAACAGTGCAGTTAATTGCACTGAATTCATGACTGTTTTTTTAACACACAAAGTACACTTTCTAATAATAATGTCAAATTAATTTTTTTACTTTAAAGTACATTTTAAATCTTTGGTTTTTTTTTGTTTCTTTTCATTATACTTTAAAGTACACTTATTTTAATGTGCTGACTAACATACTTAAGCTCATGTAGGGTACTTGATTATAATTTTAACTGTGTTATTATTACATTTTAAATGCACTAAATTGCAGCTTCATCATAACTAATGTGTAATTCCACATATATTTAAATGCATGACTCGTATGCATATTTTAATTCATCATAAATGCTTTTCAGTCCATTTGACAGTACACTTTAACCATATTTCAAAGACAAAAATAATTATTAAGTCATAAGCAGGTCAAAAAAGCACTCTGAAGTTCGACTAATTGCATTTATTATAAATGTAAACTATAATACAGTTTCATTTAATTGCTATTAACATGCCCGAAAACATTACATTCAGTTCGCACTTAAGTATATTATTTTAAATGATGATTTCTGTAATAAGTACACTCTTTCTAAAAGTATGCTAATGTGTGCTTCTTTTTCGCAAGGGTGTATTTGCTTACAGTATATACTCTTAGAAGTTCAGCCTCCATCCATAAAGTTTTGCTTTTGCTATAAGGATCTGTATCATATCATGTGTTTCAATAATAATTGTATTCTTACATGAACCTCTTACATTAATAACTTATTTTTAGTTATGTAGGAACGACTGGAATTAACGAGACTGTCTTGGCCCCATTGCTGCAAATGCATCTGAATCACTTAATTAAAATTCTCCGAGTGTGTATAATTACAACATTGCATTATGAATAAAGTGCATACGGCTGTTGTAAAGCTTAATTCTGGCAAATCTGGGTATTATGTGCTCCACTTCTTTTAATTTATCTAAAACATGACCAATATGTTTAGATTTAAAAGAGCCACAGCTAATTTTCCATGAATACTTCATTAAAAGGATAGTTTACTCAAAAAAATGAAAATTCTGTCATAGAATAAATGTAGACTCAATTATGACAATTTTGGTGAACTAAGATATTGAGATATATTGCCAATACTCATGGTTGGAAAGACCTCTCAGCCAATGAGATTTGAGAACCAGAACAAACTGTTGTTTGTATATACACACTACATACACTACGTACAAAGAAAAAAAAAGGAGGTCATGGTACAAGATGCTGAAAAACTGTGTACATAGACCAATGAGAATTGCAATTGAAATGCTAGAATATGTAGTCATATGTACTATTGTTGGTCACACGTTTTATTGAAATCCAGTCATCTTAATAGGAATCTGTGCATTCTGCAATGTCACTCTTCATTGTTCAAGTCATTATTTACACACATGTTAATAGGGGAAACAAAAGCCACCAGTTGTGTAGAATAACCCTGAAACTACATTCCATCAAGCGCTTCACTAGTCCTCTTCACCACTCGCTACCTTAAACTTCCAATAAGTGTAGGCTACTATATATGTTAATATCACCTCTTTTGTATTTCACACCAATCCAGTTGTTTGTTATGACACAAAATCTCATCTAACCATTGCGCTCCTTTGGGAAATCACATTGCTAAACATCGCCTTGGGTGTTAATTATCAATCCATGTTTCTGAACCTCAAGGGCATCGTCATCTATCAAATATCGAAATGGCCAAAGATTCCATATCAGCAATACAAGAAACCCCTCCACACCGTTCATCTGCTAGTCCTGCCTTGCCTCACGTCATATTTGATTGTTCCTTTGATGGCTCATTGCTCGCGGCGCGGGCTGTCTGTGCTAATGTTGGAGGTGCGAGTCCCTGGACAGTGTCTTTGACTGGTAATGCAATTTTCATGTATAGAGGTGCCACTAGACCCACAATCCCTTGGGTCATTTAGGAATCATTTGGATTTTAATCATTATGAATGACCTTCATCAGAGTGTCTCCACTCCTGGCAGATTGGGGGGTTTATATGACATGTTTTTACTAAAAGCGTATTTTAACACTCTTTGTATCAACGGGTCTACTCTATAAAGCCTTTTCTTTTAACATAGGCTCATTGGGAAAATGTGCCTAATATTTGCAAAGCCTAAACATTTCCAAAAACATACCTATACATATATACACAGCAGTTATACTTTAGTTTCCACCCAGATTATGATTAAAGAATCCCATTATTGATTAATAAATGATTAATTATCGATTAATGTGTGCTTCTTTGCACAATAGCCATGTTATGGTCTTTCACCACGGTACATGTTTTGCAAACGAATACATTTTAACATTTGCATCATATAATCCGCTTCATATATATTGCTTTTCTGATGTAGTAAACTTGCTCCGTAGCACACCTGGTATGGAGTTACACTTGCGATGCTAGGCGTTCGCGT